GGCCCCCCACCTTCTGTCTTTTGTTTTGGGATCTCCTGAAAGGGTCGCATCCACACGATGATTTTACACATGCATACATCTCGGTGATCCCCAAACCGGACAAGGACCACTTGTCCACCTCCCAGATAATTATGGTCCTATAGCCTTATTAAACTCTGATTACAAGATAGTTATGAAAATACTTTCTAACAGACTGGCCAGGTGTATTTCCAAGCTTATACACTGAGACCAGGTGGGTTTATACCGGCTAGACATGCCACAGATAACACCAGGAGGACTATTGACCTGATCGATCTTGTTAACAAGTTGTCAGGGCTCCCAGGTGTGACCAGAGGTGTGTGACTGACGCAGGGAAACGCAGGCTTCGGATATGTTATAAACAATGTAATTTATTAACACTAACAATACAAACATAAACGCAGTGCAATACTAAAACATAACACAGTGCAAACAAACCAAACCAACCACCCACAGATAACAGTACATACAATGCAAGCGTCGTTAGGCAGGCCGGGTCAATATCAATCGGGCAGGTAGGTACAGGGGGAGCAAGCGGAGAATGGTCGGAGTCACAAGCCAGGTTCAGCAGGTAGCGGGCAGCGTGGTACAGAGGGTCAGGCAGAGGAGAATGGTCAGACAAGCCAGGGATCAGAGCACGGTCAGCAGAGAATCAGACAGGAACAGGGAACAGGGAGCAGGAACAGGATACAGGGCCCAGGAGAAACACAACACCAAGGCAGAGTCTGCAGGTCTGAATGTCCCTTAAATACACCAGTATAATTAGTTCCAGGTGTTTGACTGGCTGCAAGGTTGAGTCTCTGATTGCTGGGAGCACCCGCTGGCCAGCCCTGGTACTGCAGCTCATAAGGCAGCTGAGTCCCACTATTGCTGGCCAGTCCATTCCTGACAGTACCCCCCCCCTCAAGGAGCGGCCTCAGGACGCTCCAAACAGTCCTAGCTGGGCAAAATGTTCCACCGCCCGGGTCTGGTAACTGGCGGGATATCAAAGACTGGCACACCGGGCAGGACTCCGGGCAGCGGCACACCGGGCAGAGGCACATCGGGCAGGACTCCGGGCAGAGGCACATCGGGCTGGACTCCGGGCAGAGGCACATCGGGCTGGACTCCGGGCAGAGGCACATCGGGCTGGACTCCGGGCAGAGGCACATCGGGCAGAGGGCACACCGGGCAGAGGCACACCGGGCTTGACTCCGGGCAGAGGCACATCGGGCAGGACTCCGGGCAGAGGCACATCGGGCAGGACTCCGGGCAGAGGCACATCGGGCAGGACTCCGGGCAGAGGCACATCGGGCAGGACTCCGGGCAGCGGCACATCGGGCAGGACTCCGGGCAGCGGCACATCGGGCAGGACTCCGGGCAGTGGCACATCGGGCAGGGCACATCGGGCAGAGGCACATCGGGCGGACTGGACTCCGGGCAGAGGCACATCGGGCTGGACTCCGGGCAGAGGCACATCGGGCTGGACTCCGGGCAGAGGCACATCGGGGCAGGGCACATCCGGGCAGAGGCACATCGGGCTGGACTCCGGGCAGAGGCACATCGGGCTGGACTCCGGGCAGAGGCACATCGGGCTGGACTCCGGGCAGAGGCACATCGGCTGGACTCCGGGCAGAGGCACATCGGGCTGGACTCCGGGCAGAGGCACATCGGGCTGGACTCCGGGCAGAGGCACATCGGGCTGGACTCCGGGCAGAGGCACATCGGGCTGGACTCCGGGCAGAGGCACATCGGGCTGGACTCCGGGCAGAGGCACAACGGGCCGGACTCTGGGCAGAGGCACATCGGATTACCAGGCGAAGCAGCAGGCAGCTGGCCACCAGGCGGAGCAGCAGGCAGCGGGCCTGGTAACTGGCGGGATATCAAAGACTGGCACACCGGGCAGGACTCCGGGCAGCGGCACACCGGGCAGAGGCACATCGGGGCAGGACTCCGGGCAGAGGCACATCGGGCTGGACTCCGGGCAGAGGCACATCGGGCTGGACTCCGGGCAGAGGCACATCGGGCTGGACTCCGGGCAGAGGCACATCGGGCAGAGGCACACCGGGCAGAGGCACACCGGGCTTGACTCCGGGCAGAGGCACATCGGGCAGGACTCCGGGCAGTGGCACATCGGGCAGAGGCACATCGGGCAGAGGCACATCGGGCTGGACTCCGGGCAGAGGCACATCGGGCTGGACTCCGGCAGAGGCACATCGGGCTGGACTCCGGGCAGAGGCACATCGGGCTGGACTCCGGGCAGAGGCACATCGGGCTGGACTCCGGGCAGAGGCACATCGGGCTGGACTCCGGGCAGAGGCACATCGGGCTGGACTCCGGGCAGAGGCACATCGGGCTGGACTCCGGGCAGAGGCACATCGGGCAGGACTCCGGGCAGAGGCACATCGGGCTGGACTCCGGGCAGAGGCACATCGGGCTGGACTCCGGGCAGAGGCACATCGGGCTGGACTCCGGGCAGTGGCACATCGGGCAGAGGCACATCGGGCAGAGGCACATCGGGCTGGACTCCGGGCAGAGGCACATCGGGCTGGACTCCGGGCAGAGGCACATCGGGCTGGACTCCGGGCAGAGGCACATCGGGCTGGACTCCGGGCAGAGGCACATCGGGCTGGACTCCGGGCAGAGGCACATCGGGCTGGACTCCGGGCAGAGGCACATCGGGCTGGACTCCGGGCAGAGGCACATCGGGCTGGACTCCGGGCAGAGGCACATCGGGCTGGACTCCGGGCAGAGGCACATCGGGCTGGACTCCGGGCAGAGGCACATCGGGCTGGACTCCGGGCAGAGGCACATCGGCTGGACTCCGGGCAGAGGCACATCGGGCTGGACTCCGGGCAGAGGCACATCGGGCTGGACTCCGGGCAGAGGCACATCGGGCTGGACTCCGGGCAGAGGCACACACGGGCCGGACTCTGGGCAGAGGCACATCGGATTACCAGGCGAAGCAGCAGGCAGCTGGCCACCAGGCGGGAGCAGCAGGCAGCGGGCCTGGTAACTGGCGGGATATCAAAGACTGGCACACCGGGCAGGACTCCGGTGGCAGCGGCACACCGGGCAGAGGCACATCGGGCAGGACTCCGGGCAGAGGCACATCGGGCTGGACTCCGGGCAGAGGCACATCGGGCTGGACTCCGGGCAGAGGCACATCGGGCTGGACTCCGGCAGAGGCACATCGGGCAGAGGCACACCGGGCAGAGGCACACCGGGCTTGACTCCGGGCAGAGGCACATCGGGCAGGACTCCGGGCAGAGGCACATCGGGCAGGACTCCGGGCAGAGGCACATCGGGCAGGACTCCGGGCAGAGGCACAATCGGGCAGGACTCCGGGCAGAGGCACATCGGGCAGGACTCCGGGCAGAGGCACATCGGGCAGGACTCCGGGCAGAGGCACATCGGGCTGGACTCCGGGCAGAGGCACATCGGGCAGAGGCACACCGGGCAGAGGCACATCGGGCAGGGCACACCGGCAGAGGCACATCGGGCTGGACTCCGGGCAGAGGCACATCGGGCTGGACTCCGGGCAGAGGCACATCGGGCTGGACTCCGGGCAGAGGCACATCGGGCTGGACTCCGGGCAGAGGCACATCGGGCTGGACTCCGGGCAGAGGCACATCGGGCTGGACTCCGGGCAGAGGCACATCGGGCTGGACTCCGGGCAGAGGCACATCGGGCTGGACTCCGGGCAGAGGCACATCGGCATCGGGCTGGACTCCGGGGCAGAGGCACAACATCGGGCCGGACTCTGGGCAGAGGCACATCGGATTACCAGGCGAAGCAGCAGGCAGCTGGCCACCAGGCGGAAGCAGCAGGCAGCGGGCCCCCGGGCGGAGCAGCAGGCAGCGGGCCCCCGGGCGGAGCAGCAGGGCAGCGGGCCCCAGGGCGGGGCGACCGGCATCGGGTCCCCCAGGCGGGGCGGACCGGCATCGGGCCCCCAGGCGGAGCGGCGGGCGCCGGGCCCCCCAGGGCGGAGCAGCAGGCACCGGGCCCCCGGGCGGAGCAGCAGGGCACCGGGCCCCGGGCGGAGCAGCAGCACCGGGCCCCGGGCGGAGCAGCAGGCATCGGGTCCTCCGGGCGGAGCAGCAGGCATCGGGTCCCCGGGCGGGGCTAGGCGACCGGCATCGGGTCCCCAGGCGGGGCGACCGGCATCGGGCCCCCAGGCAGAGCGGCGGGCGCCGGGCCCCCAGGAGGGGCGACAGGTCTCGGGCCCTCAGGCGGAGCGGCGGGCGCCGGACCCCCAGGAGGGGCGACAGGCATCAGGCCCCCCGGCGGGCGACAGGCATCGGGCCCCCAGGCGGGGCGACAGGCATCGGGCCCCCAGGCGGAGCGGCGGGCGCCGGACCCCCAGGCGGAGCGACAGGTCTCGGGCCCTCAGGCGGATAGTGGCGGGCGCCGGACCCCCAGGCGGAGCGACAGGTCTCGGGCCCTCAGGCGGAGCGGCGGGCGCCGCCGGACCCCCAGGCGGAGCGACAGGTCTCGGCCCTCAGGCGGAGCGGGCGGGCGCCGGACCCCCAGGCGGAGCGACAGGTCTCGGGCCCCCAGGCGGAGCGGCGGGCACCGAGTCACCAGGCACGACAGTGGGCTCCGAGTCAACTGGCATGACCTCTGGCACTGGGTCAGACATTGGATCGTCTGGGCTGGACAGCGGGCATCGGGTCACCAGGCATCAGGTCATTTGGCTCGACAGCGGGCACCGCGTCATCTGGCAAGGCAGTGGGCTCCGAGTCAACTGGTTATGACCGCGGGCACTGGGTCAGACATTGGATCGTCTGACTGGACAGCGCGGCATCGGGTCACCAGGCATCAAGTCATTTGGCTCGACGGTGAGCACCGCGTCATCTGGCAAGGCAGTGGGCTCCGAGTCAACTGGCATGACCGCGGGCACTGGGGCAGACATTGAATCGTCTGGCTGGACAGCGGGCATCGGGTCACCAGGCATCAGGTCATTTGGCTCGACAGCGGGCACCACGTCATTTGGCAAGGCAGTGGGCTCCGAGTCAACAGGCACGACAGTGGGCTCTGAGTCAATTGGCACGACAGCGGGACCGGGTCATCAGGTACCAGATTGTCTGGCTCGACAGCGGGCATCGGGTCACCAGGTATGACAGCGGGCACTGGGTCACCAGGCATCAGGTCATTTGGCTCGCCAGCGGGCACCGCGTCATTGGCAAGGCAGTGGGCACCGGGTCATCAGGTACCGGATTGTCTGGCTCGACCGGCTGGTATCGGGTCACCAGGTATGACAGCGGGCACCGGGTCATCAGGTACATTGTCTGGCTCGACAGCGGGGCATCGGGTCACCAGGTATGACAGCGGGCACTGGGTCACCAGGCATCAGGTCATTTGGCTTGCCAGCGGGCACTGGGTCACCAGGCCTAATAGGGATCGTCAGGCTGGATCAGTTCATCATGCTGGGTAGAGGTATCAGGCTGAATGCAGGCATCCGGCTGAGTAAAGGCATCAGGCTGAGTAAAGGCATCAGGCTGAGTAGAGGCTTCAGGCTGAGTAGAGGCTTCAGGCTGAGTAGAGGCTTCAGGCTGAGTAGAGGCTTCAGGCTGAGTAGAGGCTTCAGGCTGAACCACGGAAGGCTGGGTTCACCGGTTTGGATACTGGCAGGATGGTATTGGTTGGAAAGAATTTTCGCTTTTTTCTGGTTTTAACTACTGGAGCACTGCAAGTAAACGCAGGTCTGCAAACGAATGGAGCAGCTGGAGACAGAGAAGAGCTGGAGGATGGGACAGAGGAGGGAGCAGTTGCTACAGAGGGCTTCTTTACAGGGTTAAAGGCAGGATAGGTGCAGCGAGTGGGAAAACAGGGGACTGACATGCGGTAGATAGCCAAGTATACTGGGCTGTAACTGGGGGAGTTGTTGGGAATGCAGGAGTAGAGCTTTGAGGAAATAGATTAGAAGCAGGACTGGGTCTTTGTAAGCTGACTGAGGCTGGGTGCAACAAATCTGTCCATGTCTGCAGTATGGGTTGAACAAAGCTGAGCTTACACAAAGCCTGTCTGACCAATGACTGCACTGCGTTTATACAATCTTAGTACCTGTGGTGAACATGTGGAATAACGCTCCAGAAAGTAACCCACATCATCCTCTAATAACCACACCAGGGACTCTACCTGGTCTGCACTAAATGGTGGCAAAAATTCATCCCTGCATTCGGGGGGTACCAGATGAAACCAACTCTGCACAAACCTCAATCAAAGGCTGCACCTCAGAGAACTCTGTGCCCTGATCTACTAGAACATGAGCGAGCCGTATACATTCTAGCAGTTGATCCCTGGGATACTCCTTCAGAGTTTGATAAGCATACTCCCTGTCATCAAAACACTAGCAGATATAAATACACAACCTCATCCAGATCCATCCTTCCCATCAACAAGCCAAGATGGCTTCCCTGTGCAGCCACTTCTGGTCAGGATTGGCCTTGGTGTAATGTCAGGGCTCCAGGGTATGACCAGAGATGTGTGACTGACGCAGGGAAACGCAGACTTCAGATATGTTATAAACAATGTAATTTATTAACACTAACAATACAAACATAAAAACGCAGTGCAATACTAAAACATACACACAGTGCAAACGAACCAACCAACCACCCCATACAGATAACAGTACATACAATGCAAGCGTCGTCAGGCAGGCCGGGGTCAATATCAATCGGGCAGGTAGGTACAGGGGGAGCAAGCGGAGAATGGTCGGAGTCACAAGCCAGGTTCAGCAGGTAGCGGGCAGCGTGGTACAGAGGGTCAGGCAGAGGAGAATGGTCAGACAAGCCAGGGATCAGAGCACGGTCAGCAGAGAATCAGACAGGAACAGGGAAACAGGGAGCAGGAACAGGATACAGGGCCAGGAGAAACACAACACCAGGCAGAGTCTGCAGGTCTGAATGTCCCTTAAATACACCAGTATAATTAGTTCCAGGTGTTTGACTGGCTGCAAGGTTGAGTCTCTGATTGCTGGGAGCACCCGCTGGCCAGCCCTGGTACTGCAGCTCATAAGGCAGCTGAGTCCCACTATTGCTGGCCAGTCCATTCCTGACACAAGTCCTCAACTCCTACTCTCTTGTTAAGCTTGGATGCCCAGAAAGCGTTTGACTGACTTAGCTGACCTTATATGTTTCTGGTCTTGGAGAGATTTGGGTTTAGCGGTCCATTTATAGCAGCTCTGAAAGCTCTTTACTCCACCCCCACCTCCCAGGTCAAATTGGCGTAGTTTTTTATCACCTTGGTTCCGGATGTCAAATGGTACGCACCAGGGATGTCCGCTTTCCCCTTTGTTGTTTTATCCTCTGTCTAGAACCCCTGGCCATAGCCATTAGATGCAACCCGAACATCCAAGGGATACGCACCCATTACAGTGACTATAAACTGTCCCTGTTTGCTGATGTTATCTTGCTGACGCTGACAGAGCCTCACACTACCTTACCTGTTTTGCATCGTACTTTACAGCTCTTCAGTGCCTTGTCGGGATATAAACTTAATGCGTCTAAAAAAACTGAAAACACTGCCACTCCATATACCACCTAAAATTGTATCTTCCCTTCAGTTAAATTATCCATACCGGTGGTGCCCTCATTCCCTGAAATATTTAGTTATCAACGTTACCTTCTCATACTCTCCCTTTACACAACCAAATTCTCTCCCCTCTGTTTCATGCTATTTCTCAATCCTTAAATTTTTGGGACAATCTTCCCATCTCTTTCCTTGGATGGATCAATGTACTAAAAAATGACCATATTGCGTAAACTTGTATCTGTCTGAGACACTTCCTGTTCCTATCCCCATGTCCAAATTACACTCCCTTCAGAAGTCCTTTCTCCACTTCATCTGGCATAATAAATCTCAGCAGATTGCCCGTACTGTGCTTCTCTCCCCTTGATCTAGGGAGTGGGGTCTGGGGGCACCAGACATTGCATCATACTATTTAGCTACCCACCTCTGTTCTCTTGTCTCATGGTCCTCCCAGTGCCCCCTAATAAATGGGTTGAGATTGAATGGCTACAACTAAGTCCGATGCACCCTTGCTCTCTCCTCTGGTCTCTGACCAACACTAACACTTTCTCTCATAAACGCCTCCTGCTTGGACCCATACAGTTTGTTATCTACAGTTGCAAGAAAAAGTATGTGAACCCCTTGGGATTACGTGGAGTTTTGCATGAATTGGGCATAAAATGTGCTCTGAACGTCATCTAAGTCATAACAATAGAAGAACACAGTCTGCTGAACATAATACTACACAAACATTAGATGTTGCCATGGTTTAATTGCACATAACATGTAAACATTCACAGTGCAGGGAGGAAAAAGTATGTGAGGCCCTAGCTTAATGACTTCTCCCAGAGCTAATTGGAGCCAGGAGTGAGCCAACCTTGACTCCAATAAATGTGATGATATTGGATGTGTTGCTGACAGCTGTCCTGCCCTTAAAAAACACACACCTGTTTTGGGTTTACTGGTTTCAAGAAGCACTGTCTGATGTGAACCATGCCTCGCAGAAAAAAGCTCTCAGAAGACCTACGATCAAGAATTGTTGACTTGCATGAAGCTGCAAAGGGTTACAAAAGTATCTCCAAAAGCCTTGATGTTCATGTGTCCACGGTAAGACAGACTGTCTACAAATGGAGAAAGTTTAGCACTGTTGCTACTCTCCCTAGGCATGGTCGTCCTGTAAAAATGACTGCAAGAGCACAGCGCAGAATGCTGCATGAGGTAAAGAAGAATCCCAGAGTGTCAGCTAAAGACCTACAGAAATCTCTGGCACATGCTAACATTTTTGTTGACACATCTACAATAAGGAAAACATTAAACAAGTACATGGGAGGACACCACGGAGGAAAGCCATTGCTGTCCAAAAAAAATATTGCAGCATGTTTGAAGTTTGCAAAAGAGCACCTGGATGTTCCACAGCACTACTGGCAAAATATACTGTGGACAGATGAAACCAAGGTTGAGATGTTTGGGAAGAACACACAACACTATGTGTGGAGAAAAAAAAGCACAGCACACCAACATCAAAACCTCATCCCCACTGTAAAACATGGCGGAGGGAGCATCATGGTTTGGGGCTGCTTTGCTGCCTCAGGGCCTGGACGGATTGTTGTCATTGATGGGAAAATGAATTCCAGAGTTTATCAAGACATTTTGCAGGAAAACGTACGACCATCTGTCCGCCAACTGAAGCTCCGCAGAGGATGGGTGATGCAACAGGACAATGACCCAAAGCATACAAGTAATTCAACAAAACAATGGCTGCAACAGCACAGAATACACCTTCTGGAGTGGCCCAGTCAGAGTCCTGACCTCATCCCGATTGAAATGCTGTGGCATGACCTTAAGAGAGCGATTCACACCAGACATCCCAAGAATATTGCTACACTGAAACAGTTTTGTGAAGAGGAGTGGTCCAAAATAACTCCAGATCGTTGTGCAGGTCTGATCTGCAACTACAGGAAACGTTTGGTTGAGGTTATTGCTGCCAAAGGAGGGTCAACCACTTATTAAGTCAAAGGTTCACATACTTTTTCCTCCCTGCACTGTGAATGTTTACATGTTATGTGCAATTAAACCATGGCAACATCTAATGTTTGTGTAGTATTATGTTCAGCAGACTGTGTTCTTCTATTGTTGTGATTTAGATGACGTTCAGAGCACATTTTATGCCCAATTCATGCAAAACTCCATGTAATCCCAAGGGGTTCACATACATTTTCTTGCAACTGTATATGGAGGCGATGTAGGGCTAAATTCGCCCTCTCCTCCCCGTGTTTATCTACAGATATGCCATTTCTTTTCCTCCAAAGCCTCTTCTCTGACTCTTGAGAAGCCTACCCCTCTTTGAGCGTATCTGCATTCAAGGCCCATACCAACGGGGCATAATTTCCTCTACGTATAAAACTGCTTTTAGACGCCTGCCCCCTTTCTATTGATACCCACCTTTATATGCATAAATGGCCCCGAATTCTCCAATGTGACATTGTCTTAGATCAATGGAGCAGGATTTGGAAGGCTGCTTCCAGATCTTCGATATGTGTAGTACATAAAGAAAACACTTATAAAATCCTGATGTTTTGGTATAGGACTCCTGAGGTTCTCCATGCTCGTAATCTGAATGTTTCTTCTGTCTGCTGGTGTTGTGGCGAGGAAACTGGCACTCTTTTCCACATTCTTTGGGCTTGTCAGTACATTGCACCCTTTTGGAGAGAGGTTCTTACCCTGCTATGACTACAGCCTATATTCCATTTGAGCCCATCCAATTTTTGTTGGGCCTACCTTTTTCTGGCCTCTCCAAATTAGCAAGGAAACCTTCCTCTCATGTTTTAACAGCGGCCAGGAGAACCGTTCCCATGCATTGGCTTTCTACTACGCCTGCTACGCTACCGGAATTGATGAAAGTTATAGCAGAGATTAGAAAAATGGAGTACCTCACTGCTTTGCATGCTAATTCTGTTCCCACCTTTGA